ACCAATTTTTTTCAAAGATCTTCTGGTTCTTCTCTGGGTTCTTCTAGTGGCTCAAGTCAATTATCTTTTTCTGATATTACCTCAACAACCAGAAACCATTTTAAAATTCTTTTTGAAAAGATTATGACAAACAATAATTATTCTTTAGACGATATGTGTAATATGGTGTCTGTTGAGATTTGTAGTCTTGGGATGAGAAAGATTGGTAAAGAAACTATAAAAAATTTTTATTATAATAATGGTAATTTTAGAGATAGTACTTTAAATAAAATAGGTGCTTGGATCGATAGCAAAAATAATTTTAACTTAGCTAATAATACGAAGTAGCAGGAAGGAACTCTCATTTTATGGGTTAGGGCTTGAGAAATTTCTCCCTTTAAATGTCCGCTATTCTTAAGTTTTTTACTTAGCTCTCCCTAACCCATTTTCATATATCTACAAAATTAATAAAGATATATTTGTGATTTGATTTTTAAATGTGTTCATTCACTAAGAATTTTATTTACCTCATTAGTAAAAATGAATTACATACTGTACAGTACAATGTTACATAACGGTAACAAAAAATGTACTTGCAGAATAAATTAGAAATTCTTTATAAGGCTTATCATTATGCATAAACGAGTCACAAACACACATTATAGGTTTATACGTACTGTATAATAAAAATTTTTAGCTATGTTATATTTTTTCTGTTAATATACGTATAATAATAATGAAAAATCCGAATAACATGTATACAAATAAAAATTACTTTGACAAGTGGCATATCTTTAGAGGATGGAAGCACGGGTGTAAGGTTTGTAACGAATGCAAAAAAGTAGCTGGTGGAATATATAGACGATGTGAATATGAAAATTTCTCGAAAAATCAAATCTGAATCTATTGCGCCACATCACGTGATATGTCATGTGATACCGTTCCGGCTCGGAACACCCTTATATGATATAAATTTCGTGATTATATATATAATAGAACCACAGTTATTTGGCAATTTCCGGGACCACGCGGTCTCGCAAATTTCTTCGCGATCAGAAAAATTTTCAGATATAATAATTCGTTTCTTCTGTTTATAAATTTCTCGGTGATAACGACGAAGCGTTTAAGCACTGCGGTGGTAAAGAATTAATATGTCGAATTAGATCTTTTAACTCACACTGATACCCTTGAATATTAGGGTATTATGTACTTTGCATAACATAGTTTATAGTGAACTTCATACAATTTATGTGACAAGCGTGTCACACTCCTTCGAGCATAAACATAAAGGATCTTCGATTCAATTTCCCATGTGATTTGCGTAACTTTACTGTGACAAGCCTTGTCACACTCCAATAAGATTTCGAATAAAAAAGCCGTCTAATCATTTTTTTTCGTTCGTACAACCTGTGTACAAAAACATGTTTGATTCCAACCCACTATCAATTCTAAAAGGAGAAATCAATCGTCTTGGGTTTGTTTCAGGCGAAAAAATAAGTTTACTCACTCACTACCAAAAATGTGGAAAAAATTGCTGTTGCAATATCTTGCCTTGATGATTTTGATACAGAAGAAGATAAACGTACTTATTTGAGGAATTTAATCTCTCCACTTGGTACGTTCTAAGATAATGTTGCTTAACTCTCGTTTTCTGTCATCTTTGCCAATAATACCGGATACTTACTTATTCTTATGCTTTTCTTTCCTGCTTCTTATCGTCAAACCCGCCTCCAAAACACATTCGCGTTATCGTAGATCAACCCGTTGCCTCTGGTGAGTCGTAATAAATTTAGACAATGTAACCTTGCTAGATTTTTCATTAACCATTTTTCGTCTTTATTATATGATATTGAATATATAATCTTTTGCTTTTTTATTTACTGCTCCTTATCCTCAAACCCCCCCAACACAAGTTAGGAAAAAAATAATTGATACTTTTTCTGGAGGTATGTATTAAGCAATTTCTGCAAAAAAACTCGCCGTTCTTATGCTGAGGCCGATCGGACGTACTATTTATATGCTAGGGTTGCAATATGTGAAACCAAAACCTTTGCTTTACACTTCTGGTGCTAATTGGGAATATCAACCTGACCCATCTTTGAAGCAGATCTTGCAAAGAGAGCTTAAAAATCATTATGAAAATTTTATTTTAGGGCGTTTTGACAAATTGAATCTTCCGCTATATCTCTTCCTTTCTGGAGCTGGTACCGGAAAATCTCGAAACGCTAATGAATTCCACCAGACAGCAATCACATGTTTGTCAGCTCAAGAAGATGAGGAGCTGTTGACTAGGATTAAAGAAGCTTGGGTATTCCATGTCACCTATGAGAATGACTTCGGCTTACGAGAAGATGAATCCCGCCCTTATCATGCCATTGGTACTCGTATGCTGTTTCAACTTCTTAGAGAGAAAATGACGCTTAATAAAATTATCGAGACATACGAGCCACCAGATCCGTTGGATGTTGTGACATTAATTGCCAAATATCATAATCAAGACTTGAAAAATGTTACTGTAATTTTGATTGTTGACGGCATGCAACAACTTATAGAGAACAAAGATGACGGTTTAAAGTTGAATTCTTCGTTTTACAAGACTCTGACATCTGTCGCAGATCTTGCATTTAGTGGCATTTTCGTGATACCCGTTTGTACCTCAACTATTACTGGGCCGATTGATGGTATGTTGAGATATTCAAGGCGGAAACGTATATACCTACCAGTCACTTCTCTACAACCCCCAAGCTATCGACAAGGAGATAGTTTGGTTCCGGTTTTTAAAAATGATGAGATTTCTAATATTCTCGTGGAAGACTGTGGAGGGCATGGAAGAGCTCTAGAAGTTCTTAATGAATGCTTGGCTGGTCGTAGCATTGAAGAATGCAACATCAACACTTTGATGAACGATCTGCGTTATAATCTTACTGAAAGATACGGTGATGATATTTTTGGTTCTATTGAAGATGCTAGGCCAATTGCACGAGCAATATTGACTCGACGTCTCTTAGATAGATATAAACCTATTCCCAAAACCAACAAAACACCAGACGAATTTGTTGGAGGTGGATTGATTCGATTCGAACAATTAAAAGGTAGTAGGCTAAGAGGATATCTCACTGCACCATACATCTGGCTTTGGATATTTGTGGAGATTTCTAATGAAGGAGGGGATTCATTACTTCGAGATTGGGAATTTGCTGATTATGGGGAGCTAAGAGCACTCTTGAATCCAGTAACATCATTACAAGCGAAGTCATGGCAGAGTTTTGAAAAATTTGTCGCATCATTTCGTTGCATAAAGTCAGCTGTGATTGAAGATAATGAGCTAATAATGATCTCAGATGTTCACGCGGGAGCACGTTTGAATGGTGATATCCAATTTAAAAACCTCAATCTACGACTTGAAATTGCAAAACATCATACAAACACAAAATCTAAAAGTCTCACTACAAGCGAATGGAATGTTGATTGCTGTAATTCTACCGTTGATGTCCGGCAATTCAAACATTGTATAATTAATGCCCCAGCTTCACCATATGGAGATTCCTTCCTTTCATTAGATCAGCCGGGTACCGAGAGTCCGAATGAAGTCCACCAATTTAAATTACGAAAAAAAGCGGTCAGTAAAAAGTACCAAGTAGAACGTGAAAAATCTGCATCGGAAAATGATTTTTTCATCCTCTTTACAACTGCAAACTGTGACATTGAAATTCCGAAAAGGTCTGGAATTGTAGATAGAAATACCTTTACGAGCTATTTTGGACCATTTGCCGGAAGAGCATACAGATCCGCTATAGCCAATAATAATAATAATAAAGTCAAAAGCATCCATACTGTTTCCCTAGGGCAAATATGCAACATGAATCAAATTAGCAAAGAACAAGCGAATGCAAAAATAAAGATACCAATGAAGAATTTTTATTTCCAAAAAGGACTTTACATGATTTCTCGCATTTTGCCTCGATTCATGTGATTACAATTAGAGAATTATACATATCATAGAAATTTGTAATTATTTTTTGCTTGTTACCTCATGTTATTCTTGTAAAGATTTTTAATGTACTACAACAAAAAAGTTAGTAAAATTACCGCTTATTTCAAACAATAAATTTTAGGTGACTACAATCTTACGTTTGGCAAAAGTGATCGGCGTGAAGAATTTTTCACGCATACTCTCAAACTCGGCGTTTTGAATAAATCCGTTTTCTATATAAAACCGTTAATAACTAGTCATGTTGTCAGAATTGGAATTATTGAAACAGCGAATCATTGTGCTTGAGGCCGAGAACACCGAGGTTAAGTTAGAGAATGCGAAGCTAAAACAGATAATAGATGAAAATGTCAAGCGTGAAGTTGAGAATACTGAGCTTAAAGCCGAAGTAGCAAAATTAAGACACGATTTTGAGGAACTTAAACAACAAACCCAAATTATTTCTAATGCACAAAATACACCTTCTACAGTAGATATTTCGTACTCTCCAACCAGTTCATCATTACCAGTAACATAATTATCTACTCCACCACCTATCGAGGATCACTCTGATAAGGAATATAGCGTCAGCATCAAAGCAAGCCAGCTAAAAGCTGAACCCGCATCATTAGAAGATAAGGAGATCGATGAATTCCTGGATTCAAAGTATAAGGAAAAGGCTAGTGAAAAGATAATTCAGAGCATAAAGGAAAAAAAGCTTCGAGAACAAGACTTATCTTTAGTTAATCAAATGGAATCTGAAAAGATGATACCCCCATCATTATGTGATGCAAAAACCGTGACAAAATGTCACGATCAAAATTATGCGCTTGACAATTCTGATACTATCTCCATTGAAATATCCGAATCCGACAATCAAATCATAGAAGGTTTAATACAAGAAATGACCT